TCCTGTCTATTATTGTTGGGGTCAAAGATGGACTCTGATAAAGAGACAAGAAGGAAATGAAGAAAAGAGAAATAGGGATATCTGGGGGAAGAGCATTTCAGTTGGAGGCACTGGCAAATGCAAAGGCTCGGAGGTAGAAACATGCTTGGCATATTTAGGGAGCAAGAAGCAAGAAGGCTCATGTGACTGAAGTGACATGAACAGGGGTGGAGGGCAGGGGGAATCACAGCAAATAAATTCAGAGAAGTAACAGGCCAATCATAGGGCCTTGTGGTCATAGTAAGGACATTAGCTTTTTCGGAGTGAGATGGGAAGCCAGTGGACAGTTTGGAGGCAAAATGCCAGTGTCATGTCATCTTATGTTTAAGCTGCACTATGGAAAATGAACTGCAAGGGGAGAGGCAATAAAACCATGTGGGCCAGAGACCAGGGTGGGCAGTGGATACAGTGAGAAGCGCTCAGGTCTGTTTTGAAAGTAAAGCTCACTAGTTCACCTGATGACTGATTGAGCAAGGAGAGCAAAGAGAGCTAAGATGGAACTATGTATTTCCCCTGAGTATCTGGAAACATGGAGCTGCCATTTCTGAGGACAAGACTGAAGTAATTAGGTCTTAGGTGTAATAGGCTGAAGATGCCACTGGACATCCAGGTGGAAACAGCAGGAGGCAGTCAGGTGTGTGAGTCTTCTCCCAACTCCTAACCTCTACCTCTCCCAGAACTCTGGCATCTGTGCTCATCGGCTGCCCACCGCCTTTCCTCATGCTGCCTCTCAGGCATCTCCTGTTCACAGAATACTCAGCTGCCTCTCTTGAAACCGCGTCCCTATTCCTTCTCACATAGTGTGAGGCGGTTTCTCAGACTGGAAGTCTGGAGTTCTTCTCTATCATCCAATCTCTCCTCATCCCACATCCAGTCCATGACCATGTCCCATCAGTTTACTGCTGAAAGAACCCTCTGGGTCTCTTCTTTTCTAGTTTCCCTCTTCTTATTTTTCCAGCTCCCTCCCTCCCCGCATCTGTACTTTATACTGTGCAGTCAAAGTGATCCTTTAAAAGTACACATTAGAAGGTATCCTCCCTCTGCTCAGCCCACTACCACTGGTGGCTTTCTGTTGTCTTTCACATGCTAAAGTCATGTGGCTGGCCTGTGTCTCCAAACTAACTCCACTCCCCGCAGCCAGCCTTGCTGCCTTTTAGTTCCTCAAACAGGCCACGTTCTTTCCCACCTCAGGGGCTTAAGCCCCCTCTGCTCTTCCCTCTGCTTGGAGTCCCTGGAGTTACCTTCCCACCCAGCTGGTCAGCTTTAGTGCCACCTCCTCAGAGAAGCCCTCCTTGACTACCCAGGAAGAAGTAGATCCCCCAGTTATTCTGTCTCACAGCACCTCCTGGTTTTGTAATTCTGCATTTATTAGTTGATGATTTAATTGTCCCCCTACCTAAGCATAGGACCCAAACTGTCTGTTCTGCTCACTCCTGTATCATTGCAATGCCTGGTACTTGGGAGAAACTTTATATGTTGAGTGAATACATATACAGTGTCTCAGCCACTTGATATAAATATTAGTAAATATTTGGTGAGTGAGTTGTTGAAGAGATGGCTAGAAAATAAATAACTGAGAGGAAAGCCTGTTTTTTTCCATACTTAAGTTGATCAAACAAACAAACAAACAAAAACTATCTACTTTTCTATATTTTTGGTGTCCTAGATAGAATTTTGTATTCTTGAAATGCATTTTGGTGGAATGTGGGCTTGCCAGTGACTCCACGTGGCGATGCTATCTGCATGTACCTGGTGAGAACCCATAGTAAGTGCCACGCTGCCCTGTCCCCATCTTTATCTGTTTCACAATTTCCTGTCTAGGCCCTTAAAATCTTGATTTGCAGCTATTTGTCTTTCTGTTCTTCATGGTGCCCTCTTAAGGCATTCTTTATTATTTCAGTCCTAAGAAAACGAACCCCGTTGAAAAGAGAACATGCTTTGAATAAAGCCTGCTTGATGGTCAGCTTGATGATCAGCTTGATGGGTGGGGGTGGGCCTGTCAGATGGTACCAGGCTCTGGCTGCCCTCTCTCACAGGAAGGCTCCTAAACACAAGGGTCTCTCAGGCCCCAGGAGGCCTAGAATCTCAGCTCAGTGGGCTGCCAAGTGTGCTTTGCCATGAGGAGAATTTCTTTTCCAGAATCAGATGTAGTCATTCTCTTCAGATGTGCTGGGTTTGTAAATAGCCTCTTATGCTTGGCACCGAGGATGCAGCCGTAGATAGACCATAGCCCTGCCTTCAGGATTTAGAAGGGGAAATACAAATTTGATAAGCAAAAATTCAGAAATTCAACACTGGAGAAGATGCGCACCCATTGCATGTTCTGGCCCTGCAGGTTCAAGGTACATTAGCACTTTATTTATTTAGTTGAGGTGGGCACTCATTCACTCTGCCTGCCACCCAGCAGTTTAGTCCACAGCCTGTATCCTCCAAAACCCCTCCTTGCACTGTGCACCAGGTGGAGTTCTCATGTTAGAAGGAATTTATCACAGCGTTTTCCAGTACAAAACTGGTAATAGCCCAAGTGAGCATCTATAGGAGACTGGTTTGTGGTCTGTGCCCACTGCATGCTCTATGGCATCAGCAGTTTAGGAGCCACACGTGCTAGCAACACGTGCGCCAAGTCAAAATTCAACAACTCACAAAACAAAGCAAATTGTCTGTTAGGCATATGTCCTACATATGTAGTTAGCCTCTACACCAAATCCAAGGCAGTAGTTACCGCAGGTGGGTCAGGCGGGAGAGCTAGGTGGGAGCATATAGAGGAGGGGCTTCATGGGCCCAGGGCAGGGAAATATAGAACCACGGTGTATGTGATGAATCATTCAAGCTTGGTTAAAGAATTAGGAGAACATGGGGCAGGAAGAGCTGTAAGGCGGGCCTGGTGGTGGGAGGCTCCAGTGAAGGCAGAGGAGCCCCAGAAGTAGAAGGGGTGCTTGGAACTGTGGCAGCCCCCACCCACACTGAGCAGCATCACTTGGTGGAAAGGACTGGTTTCCCATATAAATTTAGTGGAACAAAGCATCTTCCTGTTCACAACAGCTCTGTCCAAAAGGTTTGAAAGTCACAATGTAGAAGTCAGGAGCCCATATACATGTTGGAGCCAAAGAATTGCATCATCAGATCTGTGTTTTAGAAAGCTAGCCAGGAGGAGAAAAGGCAGGCTTGGGGCCAGAGGACAGCTCACAGGGCTGCTGTGGGCCTCAGGGGAAGAGTTATGATTTGGGTCCTACCTCACGGGGCAGACGCTTAGTGTAAGATAATATTCTCCAGTTACTCTGAGATGCATTCCTGAAAATCTTAGTTTCCCATTGTCCATACAGACCATTTCAGAGATGTTTTATGTTTCTCTTTGATTGATCTAGCCTGTGGCTTTTGACACTGTGCTTCTCACTTTCTCTGTGCCTTGACCTCTTGGTCAGGTAGTTAATGATCTTTAAACAAACACTTGAATATTATGGCTCTCCAGGAAGGGACCTGGGCCTGTGTCAGCATAGCATTTTCCTTTATCCAGAGAGAAAATGAGTGTTCTATACACCCCACTTTGTAGATGGGGATATTTGTGACCTAAAGGTCAAAATTGTCTTTAGTTTAACAATTTTTGATGGCAAGTTTTCTGATATATATTACACACTTCTCTGCTTTCTTAAGTAGAAATCCATGAACATGATTTCATCTCACCTGAGACAGTGGATCTTAGTAGGAATATTCATTTATTTCATGAATGTTTATTAGAGCCTGTTCCTCGTCTGTTCCTGATTTACAGACTGTGGGTACAAAAATTGCCTGGTGTGGAGTTGGTGTGGTGATTTAAGATGCTGAGATAGAATCAAGTTACTCCTTTGCCTAAAATCCTAGGTGACTACTCTCCTGCCTTCCCTCCCCTCCCTGCCTTCTCTGCTGCAGCCCTCCCTCTTTGTTTATTTCTCAAACTCACCAAACCTCTTCCAGTCTCTGAACTTTCGCACTTATTGGTTCCCCTGTTCAGAACATTTTCTGGACCCTCGAACACCTTCTTCCTATGATCAGATCTTAGTTCAGACATCACCTCTACAGGGTCTTTCCTGACCATTGGTCAAGAAAAGCCAGACCCTCCCCTGACCCCCGGCCTTCTCCCGGCCTTCTCTATAGCACGTTACATATAATACACATATTATGTAATTATATTGTATATTGTATTCTATTGTAATTACATATCATAATTATGTAATTCTATATATTTAAACACAGAAAATTATATTTTATTTGGATTAGTATACATTTAATTAATATTAATGTATTTGTGATTGTATTTTTTCTGGATACTAAGCTCTTTGGAAAGAGACCTGGCTCTATTCCTACTCCTAGAACAGTGCCTGACACACAGCAGGCCCCCAGGGACTATGTTGATGAATGAAGAGTGACTCTGCACTGGAGAAGCCCACGGGCTAACAGGCAGGCAGGTACAGATGAGGCAGTGATAACACAGCAGGCTGAATGTGATTCAGAGGGGTTGAGGTGGCACCATGGAGAAAAGGAAAGATTCTGCCCACTGAGGTCTGGGCAGACTTCCCAGAGCAGTGGTGTTTGGCCTGGGCTTTCAGGGACAGATGGGCATAGCTTGGTAGGCTGAGGAACTTGGGGGGCTATTCTGCGTGAGGTGGCAAGCCTACACAGAGGGCTGGAGTCAAGGAAGTACGGGAATAGAACCTGGGGTGGAGCAGGGACTAGAAGGTTGGAGGAAACTAAGGTAATGCAGGATTTGGCTGCTGTGACCACTGCCCACATCCTGTACTAGAGTGTCCTGTGGACCTGGGTCTTGTGTTTGCAGTCTGGAGCCTGTTTTGGCCAAGGGGAGTCTGACTGGTCCCAGAGCTCCCCTTGGCTGGCATGCCAGGTGCCAGGTGAATGTTGGTGGCACTGAGACAATGATTTCTGCAGGTTCATGGGTTTCATGAGCTTTGTTTCTTACTCCTGACCAGGTGGTGAAGAAGGTCAAGTCTATGCAGATGTTCCATATGCCTGTCACCTCGGCCATGCAAGGAGACCGGCTGGGCATCTGTGTCACCCAGTTTGACCCTAAGCTGCTGGAGCGTGGCCTAGTGTGTGCCCCTGAGTCCCTGCAAACCGTCTATGCAGCCCTCATCTCCGTAGAGAAGATCCCATATTTCCGAGGGCCCCTGCAGACCAAGGCCAAGTTCCACATCACAGTGGGCCATGAGACAGTCATGGGTCGACTGATGTTCTTTAGCCCTGACCCTGACAGCTTTGACCACGAGCCTGTGCTGGATACCTTTGACTTTTCCCAAGAATACTTGTTCCAGGAACAGTACCTCTGCAAGGATATGGAGCCAGCAGTGACAGATAGTGGCCAGGCCAACGAGAAGGCGGGCCAGGCCACAGAAAGCCGCTGCCCCCGTCAGCAGTGGGCCCTCGTAGAGTTTGAGAAGCCTGTAACCTGCCCTCGGCTATGCCTGGTGATCGGCTCCAGGCTGGATGCTGATATTCACACCAACATGTGCCGTCTGGCCTTCCATGGTGTCCTGCTGCATGGGTTGGAGGACAAAAACTATGCTGAGAGCCTCCTGCCTAGGCTCAGAGTGTACAAGCTGAAGCACAAGCATGGCCTTGTGGAGCGGGTAAGCAGCCCCTTCCTGCCCATTGCTCTTCTGTTGCTCTCGGGTGGTTGAGCTGGACAGCTTGGCATCCCAGATGAAAGCCAGGAAGGCCTCAGAGACCTCTTGTATCAACCTCTGAAATTTTTAGACAAGGAAACTGAGGCCTGCAGTGGTTGAATGGCCCAAATTCTTTCAGCCCATCAGTTGTCATGCTGAGGCCTAAACCCAGGTCGGGGAGCCAACTGTATTTACCACAGCCCAGCTGTCCCTGCCCGCCTCTTACTTAGGTGGCGGAGGTGCCCACATAGCGCAGAGCAAGCCTGGCCTCTCACGTAAGCCAGTTTCAGACAGTAGCATTTCACCTGGGCTAAGAGCTAGCAATGTCAATGGCCTTCCTGACCTTTAGATGGGAGACTGGGCCCTGCCCTATCATCCTGATGCCAGGCCCTGGCTCTCATGTCCTCAGTGAAGTCTGAGCCTCCATCAGGCAGAGTAGCTGCCATATCTTCCTCAAGCCAGTAATGTCACGGGAGGGAGTATGGCTGATCATGCAGGCCAGGCTGGGTCAAGTGTATCCTCAGCCTGTGAGGTGGGGATGTAGGGGGTAATGGTGGCAGGGGATGCCAGAGAGCAAGAGATGGGAAGATGACACAGGGGGACAGTCCAGGCTGCTGGCTTTCTGGGGTACTTGATGTCACTGGAGGCAGGTCTTAAGTATATGGGTGAGCCAGTCTAGTTTGTAGGCTTATCATTACGGTGGACAGATGTGGTTGCCTGAGAGAGCCTACATAGGGTCCCATAGCCCTGGAAACCTCTTCATCTGTCCCTGAAGATCTGAGTGGGAATTCATGCCTGCTGGGCCTCAAATGAATGGGTGGATGACCATGCAAACCTCACGGTCCCTGGGGCTGGCTGGCTGCTGGCTGGCTGCCTGGGTGAGGGCCTGTGCAGGTCAGGGATGGCTGTGGGTAGGCCTGGGACTGGGCTTTAGTTGACCGAACATGGCAGTGCTGAGACTCCAGTGTTGGGTAGCTCAGACTCCTATTGGGGTGTGCCCCAAGGCTCTCAGCAGGCCCTAAAGTTCTGTTCCTCAGACAGTGGGATGAGGTCACCCCTCTGGTCTAGTCCTGCCAAAGTCAGTGCAGACTCCAGTGCAATGTCAGATACATACCGAGCAGGTGCTCAGGAGAAGGTGCCCAGGGCCTTGGGCGTTAGACAGTGTTGGGGTTTCCATCGCCCACCACCTTCTCTGTCTCCCTTCTTCTTCCAGATCCCCAGGTTTTTTCCTCTGGAACTTTGTCATTGCAGACCCTTCCCATCTCCTCCTCATAGTCTCAGAACACTCAAGCCCTTTCCTTCTTCCTCTCCCACCGCTACACCTAACCCACCCTCTGTAGGGGAAATGAGAAGCAGCCCCTTCCTTACCTGCCCACTGGTCCAGAATTCAGGATCCCCAGCTCCACGGGCACAGCCTTCCAGCTCAGCCAGGCAGAGGGTTGCTATGTGTGGATCCTGGAGCTGGGTCTACATCCTACCTGCCATTCTCTGGACAGGGGACTGTCCTCCGTGAATGTTGGTCTTTTCATCTGCAGAGCAGTGGCATATGCCTAAGTTCCTGGGGTTGCTGGGAAATGTTGAGGACCAACCTGGGAAGTGGGGGCCTGTGCAAGTGCTCCATCAGCCATAGGCCATCCCTTAGATGCTGGCTGAAGATGAAGGTGATAAAGCATGTATCACTCATTTATCTAGCTTGTTTTATTAGCAGCATTACTCCACAATATATATGTCACCCCGTGGTGACATATATATTGTGGAGTAATGCCCCACTTGGTGTGTTCATGAATATAATTGCCCCCATACAGGCCCGTCAGTGGTGGGGCAGCAATCATCTCCTTTGAGGACAGGAATATGGGTTTGTGAGGAGCAAGTAATCACACTGCTGAAATGACTCAAGCCAAAGTGTCCTTGCTGGGAGATTTTCCTTCCTAGTAAGGTTGATAAGGCATTGAACTTGGGGATCAGACAGAGCACAAACCTAACTGTGCTGCGCAATACTGCATACTTTGGATGGCCGTTTTATCTCAGCATCCTCATTTGTTCAGGGGCAGACTGTTGACCTCATAGGGTTATTTCTAAGGAGCCCCACTATCATAGGACGTCATATGTAAGAGCTGACTCTAGTGCAGGTACAGCAGGAAGGGTGGGCTAGTTGTGAGGAGTGTCCCTGTTTGCTATAAGCAGGACCCAGAATGCCCAGAGATTTTCAGATCGCTTGGTTGACCATGGTCTAGGCTGTATGGCATACTAGGCAGATGTGCAGGCCTGGGCTTCAGTGCTACCCTTTCTACCCTAGTGTGGAAATGGGGCAGTCATGAGACTTCCCTGCACCTGGGGACTGTCACAGTGTTGCCCTGTGGGGTGAGATGGGGGAGTGTGTAAGGGCCCGAAATGAGTGCTTGGTTCCTAACTCTGTGCTTGCAGTTTTCATGATTAATACTTTTTAAGCTCTTAGAGTGCAATTATAAATCCTGAAGCTTGGAGCCAGAGTGGTATTTCACTCCTTTCCCCAGGACTTTATTATCCTTCTCTGAAGCACAGGGGCCAGTCAGGAGCCACTCAAGGCTGGTGGAAGTGGCATGTGGTTTAACTCATTGGTGTCAATGCTCCACATTTGGGCAACTGGTCTTCCCCCACTTCTAATCATCTTGCAAGCTGGTTTTCTTGTGGATTCTCTTTCTGAACTGCTCTAATCAAAGATAGTGTAATTAACTCACTACTAGAAGTGGCTTTCCTTGCTCAGCAACAAATGAGCCACTTGGAAACTGATTTTGGTTGCAGCTTTATTCTCGATTTTTATTTTTGTGAAGAAATTCTGCTGTGATGAGATATACTATTTGAAATTTTCTCATTTTTCTGACCATTGTTTTTCTTTGAGCTGAGAACATTGTGATGTCAGTGTATGCTATAGTCTGTCAGCAGAGCCAATAACAAACACAACACCTTGCTATGTAATTCGATAAATAATATCCATACCCCATAGAACTTTAAAAGTGTGACATTAGAAGTCCACTTTTTCTGTTTTGACTATGCTCCAGTGGATGTGCACTGGTAATACAAGTAAATAACTAAAACGTGTACCTGGAAGTCTCTGTTGCAACTGCTCACCTCTGCTGAGTAGACAAGATGGAAATGAGTGGGTGTGGCTGAGTGCCAGTAAACTTTACTTATAGACACTGAAATTTGAATTTCTTATAGTTTTCATATATCATGAAATAGTCTTCTTTTGATGTTTTTCAACCCATCAGAAAATATAAAAGCCATTCTTAGCTCAAAGGCCATACAAAAACAGATAGTGGGCAGAATTTGGCCCTCTAGCTATAGTTTGTCGACCCCTAATCTAAATGGTAAATAAGAGTCTTGAAATAGAGTGCACATCCTACAAGGAAAGGTCTGACATCACCTACATCTACAAGTCTTCTGCTCTCTCTCTGCGTTTCCTAGGAGTCAAGTCCTGGGATGGGGCTCAGGTTAACAGAGCCAGTTCAAAGGTCTCACCCCAGCAGGGAGAAGGGAAATGAAGGTGTTCTAGGGAGAGAAGGAAGGGAATTAGAGTGTATTGGTCTGAGGGAAATCATTAGTATCCCATTTTCAAGTAAAAATATAGAAATGTGTATAAGATTATGAACACAGAGAAAGGGAAAGAAACTATGAATGGAATGAAAAAGTATAGTAGAGCTTCCACATTCACAGAGGGAAAAACTAGAATAAATTTGATTAAAACAAAAATAAAGAAAACAAGAACATTGTTCATAAATAATAGCAAAAACAGAAGGAACAAAATGAAGCATCAGTCATACTAAATGTGAATGGCTGAGTTATCTTATTTAAACACAGAGACTGATACATTGGATAAAAACACAGAATCTGGTTATATGCTATTTATAAGAAGCAAAGTGATAAACAAAGGTTAAAAATAGATGGGCAAAAAGGTGTCAGGTGACAATAAACCAAAAAAAGCATGAGTGGTAATATTAATTTCATTAATATCATCATGTAATGATAAAAAACACAGTTACAAACTTGTGAGCACAAAACCTATTAGAAATTCAAGAAGAACTTGATTAGAAAAATGGAATGATAATTACTGTGGAACACTTTACAGTGCATATTTCAGAATGTGACAGGCGTACTAGACAGCAGATAAAGACAAAGAGGCATAATACCGTCATTATGCCTGATTTCTAGATAGGCAGGTAGAAACCCTATATCCCTCGAATAGAGAATATATACTTTTTCCTACGTCTATGCCACATTTATAAAAACCGAGTATTCAGCAGTAGTCATTCAAAAAAAATTTGTAGAATACTATGTACTGTTTTCAGGCCTGGAGATATAACAATGAGTTAAGAAAGGCAAAATCCTTACTCTCATGGCATTTAGATTCTATGTAATATTATATTATCGAGATTCTAATTGTATGCGTGGCCACAGAGCAAACCTGGAGGGATTTTTGAAAGAGAAATCATAAACCATTGAAACTAGAAATGAAAATTTATATAGAGGCATGGACATAGAGCTATAGATTTATTGTATGTGTGTTCATTAATTCTCTCATATATTTTCTGCTTGGAAATTAGCAAACAGTAAATTGCTGTTCATTTGATTAAAACCACTTCTCATATTATTATATAATGTTGAATCCCTTAGTAATAATCTTCTCTTTTTTCAGTTTTCTGGCAGTCCTTTGATTACATTGCAGAGAGCCTTAGATTCCCTCAAAGGAACTTGCACATAGGGCCAAGATTCAGACCCTTCCATAGTAGCAGTATACAACTAGGGATTCAGTGCATTTTCTTCATTGTATTTACTTTTACCATCAGGTTCCTGTTTATGACAAGCCACTCTGGTTTTCTCTTTAGGATATCATGTGAAGTTTCCCTTTTAAGCATATGTATTTAAAGAAAACTGTTGGGTAAATAATAGTACAAGTGTGCAAAGATCTGGTGAAAATGATGAGAAAT